GAACGGCTTAATTAAACTTGCCAAATCTTCCAATTTCAAGGGTGCAATCAAATTCCAGTCTGTTTGATAATGGCTTATTCATATTCAAATAAATGTATAGAAGGTCAAACATACAAAGAATGAAAATGCAACACACACAGGGTGATAAAAAATGAAAGAAACATCAAGGAAAGTAATAAAGACATCAATAAATTTCTCAATGATGGCTGATAAATTGGTATAAATCGCTCGCTTCAGTCGAATTCCTAGACGAACACAGAGCTAGTTTGACTTAGTTCTCACACAAAGACAGGAAAAGGGAGATCTCCGTGCTTCCTCTGTTTGTTTGCCATGTGAACATCCAGAGACAGTGCCAGACCACTAGAGGTAGCGTTGCCTGGGCCAGAAACAAACACACAGACACATTGTTCTGGTGCATGCGTCTGTTTGGGACCCCTCACAGAAAGGTGAATACAGTAAATGGCCAAGACTCCTCAAGAAACATCGTGACGCATTATGTAAGAGTAAGAGTATTTTAAGATACAGTTATAGTCAGTCGAGAGCGATGTTGAGGGTACAACTTAAACACTACAAAACAAATCGCTGCAGTAATTGTTTTCTCCATGAAGGAAGACATTTCAAAGTAAACTGGTGTTTCACATTAGAGCAGGGTTTCTGCAGGTTTCACCAAGTCAAATTTAAGACCTTTCTAAGACCGTGAAGAACGACATTTCAGACTTACATAGGGCTGCAGTACATGCTAAGGGTTATTAAAGGACAGCAAAAACAAATTCTTATTAGTTATTTCTTAGCCACTTAAAATAATGTGAAAACAAGCAGACCCTGGTTGTACACTACCTGACAAAAGTCTTATTGTCGATCCCAGTTGTAAGAGGAACAAATAATAACTTAACTTCGAGTTGATCATTTGGAATAGTGTCAGAAGGTAGGTTTTTTCGATGAATCATCAGTTGAGCTGCATCCCAATCATCACAAATACTGCAGAAGACTGGAACTAGCATGGACCCAAGATTCTTATAGAAATCAGTCATGTTTGGTAAAGGAAAAACCATGGTTTGGGGTTACATTTCAGTATGGGGGCGTGCGAGAGATCTGCAGAGTTGATGACAACATCAACAGCCTGAGTTATCAAGACATTTGTGCTGCCGATTACATTACAAACCACATGAGAGGGCAAATTCTTCAGCAGGATAGCGCTCCTCATACTTCAGCCTCCACATCAAAGCTTCTTAAAGCAAAGAAGGTCAAGGTGCTCCAGGATTGGCCAGCCCAGTCACCAGACATGAACATTATTGAGCATGTCTGGGGTAAGATGAAGGAGGAGGCATTGAAGATGAATCGAAAGAATCTTGATGAGCTCTGGGAGTCCTGCAAGAACGCTTTCTTTGCCATTCCAGATGACTTTATTAATCAGTGATTTGAGTCATTGCAGAGATGTGTGGATGCAGTCCTCCAAGCTCATGATGGAGTCAGACACAATATTCATTCTGTCTCCACTGCAGCATGAATTTATATTCTATACTGGACATTATTTCTGATAAGTGAAAAGACTTTTGTCTATGCAAAGTCAGATCTTACGGTATTATTTGAATATTTAAAAATCAAGGCATAATCATATTTTATTTTAGTAAAATAAGTGTAATCTAGAGGCCTTTGCCTTTCTTAAAAGCCACTTCTGCTACCAAATGATCAACTAGAAGACTAGTTATTATTTGTTGTTCCTAAAACTTGGATAGGCAACAAGACCTTTATTAGTTGTGTCTGGATGTGTTGGATCGACTGGGTAACTTTACATAAAGAAAGGAAAATTAAGATCCATTTAAATGATACAAGACAACATTTTAGTCAATTTAAGACTTAACGCATACTGAGAAACAGCCCAAGGCTGTTTCTCAATTCCAAGAATGCAGAGAACGGACTTGTGTTCTTGTAAAGACCGGTCTTGCCAGGTATCCTCGGAAGAACGAACTCTGGAGACCACGAGAACAGAGATTGCGTCCTGTGAGGAATGAGATGCTGCGTTCTTCCTGATGGTCACGTGACCTTCATGCGTTTTAAATAAAAAATTATTTAAACATTACAGCATGCATACAAAGATTTAGTGTTTTTCCCCTTTTCAAAATATATACTCTGCATCAAAACATTATAACTATGCATTGCACAATATAAATAAAACAGATTTTAATAAGAATTTCAGCAAACAAACACCCTTAACGTTTAATTCCTTTATTAAAATGTCCATGGTAATGTTTATAGTCACCGTTTCATTTAGGGAAGCTCCTGAGGTAAGTAAATTATATCTTTAATAATAAACCCATTTAAAATGCTGCGCTTCCCACCTACAGTCGCAATGACTTCTGGGAATTCTAGAGCGATATCAATGCTCAAGTTAGCATTGTTGCGCCCTCGATATCAAGAACACATCCAAGAAGTTTCACACGTCCTCCGTACTTGCGATCTTAAGTATTGGAACTGAACTTTGGCAGCTGATAATGACGTTACATGAGAACACGAGGATGCAAGACCACTGAAGAACGTACATTGAGAAACAGCCCAAGTCTCCTTAACCAAAACACACCTGAATTCACATCAACAGCTTATTAGCAGAGACTGAAAGACCTGTTAAGGGTGTGACAGACAAAGGAGACAGTGCAGATTTGGTGGTCCTTCAGGAGCGTGGTTGACTCTACTAAATCATTAATTGTTCCATCTAGTCAGACCACCTGGCATGAATATTAATATCAAGGGTAAACAGGAACTACTATAATAAAAACAAAACATTAACCCATGACAGTGCTAATTTCATTAAACCACACACTCACACACTTTCTAAGTATAATCCCCATCAGTTTCTTAGAAACGAGCAAGCTTGATTAGGTTGGAGATTAGACAGTAACTCTCTAAAATGTGAGCGGTGACAAGGTTTCACTGTCCTACTTAGTGCAGACACTTGCACTGCTGATCCAATTACCGTCTATGAGTTGTCATGTGCTCAAACTCCCTGTGTGGCCAGACAGTACAGGCTTTCCCTGACTGAGAAAAAACACCACCAACAGGAGAACAAAACAGAGAGATTTACTCCTAGACTGTCACGCTCACTTTTTGAACAAACATAAAAAAGAGAGATGATTAACTTTAATGAATCCCAGTCTGCAGTGCTTTATTGATTAGATTTAACCTTGGTCTCATTTCAAAGATGACTCGGGTTGTACTTGAGTAAAGAAAGTTTAAAAAGTTCAAACGAAATGTATGTACCTTTAGGTTTATGAAAATAAAAAACAAAAAAATGTGTATTTAATTATATTATTTAAAAATGTGCATTTAATTATATTATTTAAAAATGTGTATTTAATTATATTATTTAAAAATGTGTATTTAATTATATTATTTAAAAATGTGCATTTATTTATATTATTTAAAAATGTGCATTTAATTATATTATTTAAAAATGTGCATTTAATTATATTATTTAAAAATGTGTATTTAATTATATTATTTAAAAATGTGCATTTATTTATATTATTTAAAAATGTGCATTTAATTATATTATTTAAAAATGTGCATTTAATTATATTATTTAAAAATGTGCATTTAATTATATTCTTTAAAAATGTGCATTTAATTATATTCTTTAAAAATGTGCATTTAATTATATTCTTTAAAAATGTGTATTTAATTATATTCTTTAAAAATGTGTATTTAATTATATTCTTTAAAAATGTGTATTTAATTATATTCTTTAAAAATGTGTATTTAATTATATTATTTAAAAATGTGTATTTAATTATATTATTTAAAAATGTGTATTTAATTATATTATTTAAAAATGTGTATTTAATTATATTATTTAAAAATGTGTATTTAATTATATTATTTAAAAATGTGTATTTTACAAAACCTGTTTAAGCCTAAAATAACAGAAAAAAATTAAGCTAAATATCTAAACAAGTTATATTCCAAATTTAAAGTTGATATCTCAAGAATTAAGCTTTCACAAAGATTTTGTTTGGGCGCAGTTTCCATTGGTGACCATTCAAGGTCACACCCTATGTTAAGCAATATGACCTGCATTTATTCATACTTTCTACAATGTATGTAAAGTAGTTCCAAAACATTCTGAAGTAGTATGTGAAGTTTGGCGTTTAATTTAGCTTCTAAATAACATCTAAAAACATTCACATGTAGATTGCTGTAGCAAAGTAATACTTTTGGAGTGAGTATCCTTGTTGCAAATTAATAAATAATTGAATAACTGAATAAAAAAAAAATAATAATTAAAAATCAGGGGGCGAGGCAGTGGCGCAGTAGGTAGTGCTGTCGCCTCACAGCAAGAAGGTCGCTGGTTCGAACCTCGGCTCAGTTGGCGTTTCTGTGTGGAATTTGCATGTTCTTCCTGCCTTCGCGTGGGTTTCCTCCGGGTGCTCCGGTTTCCCCCACAGTCCAAAGACATGCGGTACAGGTGAATTGGGTAGGCTAAATTGTCCTGTCTATGAGTGTGTGTGTGTGTGTGTGTGTGTGTGAATGTGTGTGTGGATGTTTCCCAGAGATGGGTTGCAGCTGGAAGGGCATCCGCTGCGTAAAAACTTGCTGGATAAGTTGGCGGTTCATTCCGCTGTGGCAACCCCAAATTAATAAAGGGACTAAGCCGACAAGAAAATGAATGAATGACTGAATAATTAAAAATCAGTCACCAGATATGGAAAGTGGACATCAAGCTTTCAATTTATATTTATATATAGTTTCTATATATAAATCCAAATCATATTTCGGCATAACAGCTCCATCTGCCACATTAACAGGCAAAAATAATAATAGTAATACCAATGCAGGCGTCATGTGAGGCTGCCCTCCAACGTTTTACACAATTAGCACCATTCACTGTGAAACGTACACAACAACAGATCATTTGATCATTTCCAAGAAATCTTCAAAAAAAGAGAGCTATAAACGCTGCCTCTTCAGGCTGTGTTCTGTTTAGAGTAGCTTTTTTTTTTTTTTACCTTTGAGGGCGGGAAGTTTCTGCAGTTCCCGATTCTTGCTGAGGTTGAATCGTGATGAACTCTGTCGACGCTCCTTCTTTACAATCTGTGGCCCACCTGAGTACTTAATTTTGTTGAGCTGAGTGGGAGGTGGAGTGCTGTTGCTCGGACGCTTGCTCGCTGTCTGCTGGGCCTGAAAAAATAAAATAGTAAAAAAGTTCAGAATCAAAATAGGTGCATTACTGTCCTGTTCTATAGCACCACTTTAAAATTACTCATTTAATACGGTGCTCTTATTATGTACATACAGTTGAAGTCAGAACTAATATCCCCCTTGAATTATTAGCCATTCCTGTCTATTTTTTCCCCAATTTCTGTTTAACGGAGAGAAGATTTTACCTTGACACATTTCTAAACATATTACTTTTATTAACTCATTTCTAATGGCTAATTTGTTTGTCTTTGCCATGATGACAGCACGCAATATTTTACTAGATATTATTCAGGTTATTAGCATTCGGCTTAAAGTGCCATTTAAAGGCTTTGCTTGGTTAATTAGGCAAGTTAGGACAATTAGGAAAATCACGATTACAATAAGCATTACATATTTTCTGATGTAAGTACATATAAGGCAACTAAATATAAAGCAGGACTGATTATATTTTCAGGTCTTGACATCATTGCTGTACAACAATACTGAGAAAAGCAGGTGAAAAAGGTACTTCATTTAAAATATATTTAAAAATAAAAATCTGACTTAATGCTGGATATTCCTTTTGATAATTATCCTGATTGTTATATTGTAAAACGTTGAATTAATAACAAAAGTAATAGAATAAAATAAAAATATAAATCCAACTGCAATAAAGAAATGTAACAAAAGAGACTTGCTTTGTAATAAATGATGACCATCAGAAACAACAAAAAGCAGAAGTGAGAGCAGAAAGCTGCTCATTATGAACTAAAACTTGGCATTGTTGCATATTAATCAGTAAATGACATAATAAAAGCATGTACAACAATAAGCTTCTGTTTACTTGCCACTGATGATGTTGTTTAGTATAGATGTTGTACTGAAATTGGCCTTTTTTCCCCACATTTACACTTATTTCCCAAACAACCCATGTTGAACTGTGGTATTTCACCGCGGTGAAACATCGAATAGCACCTGTGCAACTACTAAATCTGTTAAAGCACAAAGCAATGCACCACATCAGTCAACAAATTGCAAGCAAACTGCCTTCAACTGCCATGGGAGTTGAAGTCCACAACTAACCTAACCTACATACCTCCTTATTACCATACTGTATCTAGATTCAGTCCACATTAAACATTCATGAGTAGCCTGAGCTGCACTATCAAATAAATATGTCTTCCTTGCAAGATCAGAAGGATCAAGCATCACAGAAACCATGTGGCAATAGGTGACAAATACAGTGTTACTAGTAGGACTGACCCAAAAGATATTTAAACAATGTAATAATTAGCCATTGGATTCAGAATGAAAAAATGTAAATCCTAAAGAAATAAATAATGAAAAAATAAATAAATAAATAATGATGCTGTTACTAACAAAAAAGTGCAAGAACTAAAAAAAAAAAAAAAGTTTTACGTTTGAAGTCATTTTAGACTTTTAAAGCGTCACACCAGATTCAGTTGTTAGGTACCCAAATGAAAATATACTATAGTAGTTTACAGTAAGCAGTGTTTTTTTGTTGTTGCATGACATATTGCACCAAAAATGTATTGCAAAACGATAAATGATAGTATTGTCATTTTAAAACCATTTCATGCCACTCATTATATGATGCCAAAATGACAATAGAACAGCATCATAAAGCAAGTACACTCTTTCAAAAAACACATCATATTTTTTTCTTGAGAATATTTAATACATAATGGAATTTAGCCATTGGAATTAAAATGAGAAATTGTAAAACCTAAACAAATAAATAAACAATAACAAATGTTAACAACCCAGTGGTTGAATTAGGTCTTGCACACCTAGTTCAAAACACACGCAAGCGCAGGTTGCCAGATTGATGACATCAACTGGAGCAAGGAAATTGAACTTTAGAACTGTGACTCAGTGCAAGCCAACACATATCCGTGATTTAGCATCTACATTTAATAATGTTAAAGAGGTTTAATATGTATTAATTAGATTATAACATACCTTACCATTTCAATTGAGTGCAGTTAGTGCACTATTCTGTGCTTCTAAATGGCTGCATTTAAAATTCTGTGTTGTTAGAACATGGGGTTACAAATGTAATCTGCTCACCTAGTGTTTACGTGTATAATAATTTTATTATTTGCTAATTATTTACCACCTCATGTGGAACTCTGAATCTGTGTCTTATTTCAGTGTCTGCTATGTCCATATTTATATTATACTATATTATACTTTATACTATACACTGTAAAGTCTATTTGTTTGATAAATTGATATTTTGATTATAACAACAGGTCTAGACACAATTTTAAAATTTGTTGTCTTTTAATGAGAAAAAAAATGCAT